TTTTAACGAAATTTGCTTTTTTTTTGTTGGCGAGAAGAACTGGTTCTTCTTTAATGAGGGTTTATGTTCTGTGATGCATGACTATATTTTGTGCGCTCCGTCGGAATGCGTGAATATTTATGTTTTTTCGAGACGTACCTTTTTTTTAGCTGCTGTAAGCTAGACCGTTGCACTTGTGCCACTTAACCAGAGTTTATGGCATGCAAGGAGATATATTGGGCCACATATCATGAGTACTGCCTTTTTTTCGTCACTGGAAAGTCGCCTCAAAGTCTTGCTTCAGAATGAATGCGTTTTCTGAAAGCCTCCGCCGTCGAAATACCACAGACCTGATCTTTTTTACATGTCATTTTTTAAAGATTTTTTTTTTCTATTTTACTGTGTTTTATTTTTGATGATTACCGCTGCGTCGAGTTGCGATCAGTTAATGATCGTTCAGCATTCAATATTTCATCACTCCCTGAGCCGTTGATGCGTTTTTGAAACTCTGGGAAATATTTTGTTGTGTGATGCGCACGAAATCTCGGTTGATGGTCCCGTAGTTCCGAGTGAAAGTCCGACAGAGTTTCTCTCCTCCTCGGGTTGTTTCTTCTTTCCGAATTCTCCAAAATCTGTCGAGCAGCGGTTTTTGTTTTTTTCATTCTTATTTGTTGCTACATTTTGCGGGCTCGAATCCCTTCATAATAACAGAGTTCGTTGAGGACGTGTGAAAGAAAGAAAAAATGCTCGCGGTTGGTGGAATTTTGGCGTCAGACGGTATTTTCGTTTACGCGACTTCTTTGCTATACGCTGTTTCCTCAAAATCACTGTAATCGTGATATTTTGTCGTGGCGATTCGCGTGACAAATTTGTTCAGATTTTGAACGCGACTGTTTTTTATTTATTTATTCATTTAGCTTTCCTCTTTCGAAGCGAAGCAAAAACGTTTTGAAGGCAGACAGTGGAAAAACGAAGAAATTTTTTGATGTCGCGAACCATACCAATATTTGGAATGCTTCATTGATGTGCAGTAGGAGATTGAAAATTGGAAGGTCTGATTTTTGATCGACATGAATATTGATATTATGGATAGTTTGGAAAACTGGTTCGGTTTTCAAAAGCTTTATAATGAAAAGCCCTTCTATGAAAAAGTTATTGAAGTTATAGGGAAGTACTAGTTTCATGAAAAATTCGGGAAACTGAAAAAAGCCAGTGCTATAAATTGTATAAATCAGAGACCTAGCGATTATAATGCGTCGTGATCAGTTTCACAAAATGCCAAAAGGATTTTTTTCCTGGATTGAGCCGAAAAGTCAAAATTTTGCAATTAAAAACCTCTTGTATTATTGATACAAATTAAAGTTTAAACTCGCAAAATATGTCAAAGAGGCTTAAATGACCGTTCGATTAATTTTATTTCGGGAGCATATTGCCGAAATTTGTACAATATTGAAGTTTGATAAACCGTGTGGTCAATTTATGATTTCGTCGTGACGACAATAAGGTCTCAACGGAAGTTGATCGTATTTCTGATATTTCCTGAAATATGTCAGTTTTTGTTTTCATCTGTTTTTCAAGACAAGTCATGAGCGGATGCGGGTTGAAGAGTCATTTCTTATACAATAGTACTTGTAATCTCGCAGAAGATGTCAAAGAGGCTTAAATAACCGTTTGATTAATTTTATTTCGGGAGCATATTGCCTAAGTTTGTATAATCTTGAAGTTTGATAAACCGTGGTCATTTCATGATTTCGTCATGACGACAATAAGGTCTCAACGGAAGTTGATCGTATTTTCTGATATTTCCTAAAATATGTCAGTTTTTGTTTTCATCAGCATGAGGTAAAACAGTCAATTGGGTTGTGGGGAGGAAACCCGACGAAATAAATCGTGGATGAGCCCGGAACTCTGGGCGATTGGTTCTAGGTTGCCGATGAGGGAACGTGGAAGGTCGAAAAGGCCGTTTATTTTGGCATCGCGTGACTCACTTATTGGTGCTCTACTTGTTCGGCCGGGGGTTTCTTCTTCTTCTTCTAATCCCTCACGAACCGAGTATTTTTCTTCCTTTCATCGTGAATGTTGTTTTTTTTTCCACTTTGGACTCCTTACGGGAGGTTATCTGAGGTCAAGGAGACGACTAGACTCGTGCACATCGCAGCAAATCGCCTAATATTTGGCATGAAGTCTCGAGCTCTTTGTGGGAGGCACGGGGTCGGGTCAGAGATCGTATGGGTTTTTTTTTTCGTTTTTTTTCTTCTTGTGTTTCTGTGGAATTTTTGTGTGGGGTTATTCCGAGGCACAGATGGGGTCATTGGGGATGCATTTGTGACTTGCAAGCCAAATATTCTGAACCGTGGTTCCATCTAGGTTTCCATAGGAAGAGACCAGTTTACAGTGATGTCTACTATTGAGGACAGATATCTTCAATATAAGTTAGTGTCCAGTATTTGATGTTTAGATAAATAAAACAAACTAATCAGTCCGGGACAGGACCAGGATTCCACTGGGGAATTCCTAGTTTAATGGACAAGGTGTATTTCACACGAGGATAACAAATAATGACTCAATGAGGTTGGGATTGTAAATGAATAATTTGGAATAACTCAGATGAACTGAACTGTACTGATGATCTAATGAGAACATATGAAGGATGCAGCTTATATAGTATCTGTAATATTTAACCTTCAACAGGTTTTACTTTTCCAATCTGAGCAGAGGAAGTTCTTGTCGAATATGCCTCCTCAAAATACTGCGATTTTGAGGAGGGGGAAACATCTCTGTTGATTCTAGGAAACAAGTATTTTATTGTACTTTGGCGTGTATGCCCAACATATACCCCAAAATTCAAGAAGAGCTTGTGTCAAATTAGTGTTATTTTTCTCAAAGACCGAAAAAAACAGCTAAATCTTTGATTCATAATCAGAAAGAACAATATTGATAAATAACGGTTGTTACATTTGTAACATAATCAGAAAGAACAATATTGATAAATAACGGTTGGTACATTTGTGCGCAATTATCAATTTTAGGTCGTCGGCAGTATTTTCGGATTCAACTGTTGATAATGTTGAGTTCAGAGGTTTAGACGAATGAATTATGAAAACCAAGTGCAATCAGCCTTTCGAGACTTCAATTAACCCTCACATTGCTAGAGGACGATCTGAAATGATTCCGGTGAATTGTAAACATATACTGGAAGCAGTTTTTCAAACTCGATGACTGTCAACTCAATTTTTCATGCATTTTTTTTCAGAGTCTGAGGGAGATGTTGAAAAGAAATCCTGATTGTTCATTTTTAATGGTTTTTGATTCAAGAACGCCGTTCCTTGAAATATTTTTATCATATTTCCCCCCACGAGCCAAGAATATCCGAGGGGAAAAAAAAAACTTGAATCACAGGAAAACCAAGTTTCGAAGCGTGTGACCGTAAAACCCCGTCTCCAACCGTAATGATTTTCGAAGACATTTCGAAATTTTAATGGCGAAGTTCACTGAAATTTTGTTCACTGTCCGTCGCGATACTTCAAATAAACGCATGCCGTAAATATTGAAATCGCGCATAAACTTCTTGAGAACGTCGAGAAAAAATTTTTACGCTATCCTTGGAAGAAATTTTAGAAGCCATATTCTCTGGCGATGCTATCAAATGTTTTCACTTATCCGCCTAGTTTTCAACAGCTTTGTAATTCTTTGCTATTTTACAAGCGGTGAAAAACGCCCTTCTTGAGAAAAAAAGCCCTTGTTTCGAATATTGTTGTTCCCTTCGTGTAGTGAAGCAAGTTGAGCAGGACAGTATTTCGATTATTATCCATGGGAACGAAAATTTCTGAAATCTGCTTCACGAAATATTTTGTGATTTTTTTGACGGGACAATGGTCTAAATTAATGATACCCAACCCGCATAATAAATAATACAAATCAAATAATACAATAAAATTTCAGCATAATGCATTTCTTAAATGTAGCAATGAACTCTGTTATCAGTATCTAAAACTTCGGAAAGACAATAACAGTTGATTAAATCATTTGATGAAAAATAAAAGTTGGCTTTTCTCCTAATAACACTTCGAACGCATTTTTACCAGCTAAAATAATTTTTTTAATTTTTCATTATGAGAAACCTTTTTTTTTTCAAGCCCACCTTTCCAAGTTTTTGATGACGTCAAGTTAAACCTGCTTTAGAGGTGCTTAACTTAATTTTTGCAAGAATCAGAAAATTTTTTGAAACTTTGTCGGTTCGCAAAATATTTTATGGAAATTTGCCGGTCCTCGGACCCGAAAAGGTTGGGGAACACTGGTCTAAATTTTTTGCGATGGAACAGACCATTTTAAGGGGAGGATTACATTTTAGGAAGGGCATGTTTCCCTTGTTGCAATGGCAGAGTTGTAATTTGAAACGACTGAAAATAATCGCGTTTCGGTTCCTTTATTTTAAAAGTTGAATTCTGCGTGCGTCTTTTTTTTCTATGATGCACTTTTTGGATTGCTCGTGTTTTTTGGTAGGAATATATTTTTTCAATGATCATCCGGAAAATTTCTTGAGTTATACACCGAAGTCTTGACGCAGGTACAGTACGGTACTGAACAATACGTAAAAGCGAACATGCTGAGTTTTGATTTTCCTGTGGGTTTAAACATTTCATGGGGCAACTGGTTGACGGTTGCGTTGCTGTCTTCTTGTCTTCTTCTTCTCACGTAATTTTTTGTTTGTTTGTTTTTTCGGTGGGATACTATCTGTAATTATTTTGCGTTTTTTCGACATTTTTGTTTTTGAAAATCCTGTTTTCCATTATTTCTAAACGATCGTATTTTTGTTTTCCTTTTCCTCCTCGTTCTGATTTTTCTTTTCTGTTTCTCCCCCTTCCATCTGCGGCTTTGTTTGATTATTTTCGCGGTTTCCTGCCGCGTTTCCACCTTCCTTTTTTTCAACTTTTCTATTTTATTTATTTCTCTGCGTTCTTTTCTTTCTTTTTTTTCTTTCTTCCTTGTTTGTTTTATGACACGTCGGGGTTTTTTGGGAAATGGGCTTGACCGACGGGCAGTTGGAGCAAAAGCAGGTGAGTCCCCCGTACAAACCGCGGCTGGACAACGACCGGGATCTGGCCAACTTCCCGCCCGAGTTCACGGATGAGCCAGTGCAACTCACGCCCGACGATCCGTGAGTTTTATTTTATTTATTTATTTATTTTCTGGGGGCCTGCATTTTGGGAAATTGAGGTATTTTCTTTTAATTGATTTTTTCTGGCGTTTGAAAACGTGTGAATAATGTGTCCTATGTGAGAAACCGGATTCGAATTGGTTTGTTGTGGGAAGCGCCCTTTTCATTGGACGCAATGTCTGATGCTGCTTAAATGCATTTGGGAGTGGGGAAGTCAATTTTTTGCCTGTATATGAAACATGATTCGTTTCAACAAAATGGTTTTTTTAAGCGTTCGTGGTATTTTAGTCATTACCTGATATTGCTTAAATCTACGGGGGATCATTGCGTTACAACGAGAAAATAAAAATAATGCATTTTCTTTTTATCATTTACTCAAATGAAGAGGAATGATTTACAAAAGAAAACAGGTGAATTTGTGTGAACAATGAAGTGCAATCGCTTTGCAAATTCATTGTCCCTATGAGGTGGTTCCAACACTAGTGCGTCTTGAAAATGCTACAGTCTACCCACAAAAATGTGAAAAAGTCCTTACCCAACAAAACAAAAAACCGCAATAACCTGCGACACTACAAATGAAAGACTCCTTCATTCCCCAGATAAGTCTGAGGTAGAAATTTTATGAGTGATGACTGTTGGAAATGCGCCACAGAAATTAAGAAACGGTCGGAAAGTGCTGCGAAAAAGGGGTTAAATATGTACAGTAAATATTTTTTGGTGAAAGATGACGGATTTGTTCTACTCAACTGCACCGGACAAAGAGCAGTTCAGTACCAGCGATGAAGTACTTCCGCAGTATCGTCGTGGCACTTCTTTCCGTCCGAATGCAGTTGGGCAGAATTGATGGGTTTCTTCCGGCTTCTGAATCGTCCATTCGACCTCGATTTTATTTTTTTATTTTTTTATCGCAGCATTTCCTGACAGTCCTTACCGAAAAACAGTCTCACTGAGAAATATGTCATATTTTAATGAGCTTTTTGCAAATTTTTTGATGGAATCACTATATTTTCGAGGTCTCGGGGGAAATACCTTAAAGTAATTTACGAAAGATTTCGATCGCATTTTCGCAAGTCCCGCAACAGAGCTGACATTAAAGCCGAAGCCCCTCATTTGTTTGTTTGTTCTCTGATCATTTAAGAATGCGAGGCAAATATTTGCGCTCAACTTTCGTCCAGAGCATCATTCCCTTTTACTTTATATAAAAGCTTGATTTTTTTTTCCTCAAGAAGTATCGATTCCATCCCCGTTTCTTCTAGTTTTAATTTGGGCACCAGTCAGAAATCGACTGCAGTGAAATCCCGTTAGAACGAAGCACTTGGAGGTGGAAAGCCCTTTGTTATAAAGAAAAATAATGAGCCCTAAATAAGATTGTTGCCGTACTGGAGGAACCTCGAAAATAAATTCATTCTAAGCGTGCATTCGTTGTAACGAGAGTCCACTGTGTTCAGGGAAAGTCCAGCGATTTCCTCCTTTGGACAATTTTCCACTGGTGAAAAAAAAAAAAAAAACAACTGGCCAAGAGACACGAACGGATCGGAAGTATCTTCGGAATTCGCAACGGGCAGAAATGTCTTCCATAATGACGCGTTGGTGAGACTCTCAGACGCCACTTTTCGGCCAAATCGCAGTTGGAGCCATAAACGCCAGTAGTGTGGGACAGAGGAAATGTGGCTTTCGGGGCGGATTTGGCCCGCGGGACACCCCTTGGGTTGTGGGTATCCGTGTCCTTTTTTTTTCATACACTCGTATACACTGCATAGCTCCTGACATTTTCAAGTGAGAAGGAAAATAAAATTGAGTTAACTTTGTTTTTTGTTTCTCACGCGCTTCGCCTTGTGCTCGTCTGGGTGAGCCGGTCGTAAAGTCGAATGAGCTGGGAAATTCATGGAAGGTCATTCAATCGGTGAACTAAATTTCTTTTTTTTTCCGGAGGGGGGGCTCGATTTAGCTTCATCAGTCAAAAGTTGAATTTTTTGGTGGTGTGTCCCGAACGTGGGATTCCCCTCTGATGAGGGTTTCATTCCTACGATGCATCACACACTAACGACTCTGAAATTGCGAGTTCGTCCGTTTAATTCAAATGATGACGGAGAAGGTTTCGTCGTAGAAAATTGTCGTTCGTTGTGGAGCCCAATTTTTTGTTCCTATTTTTTATTTCGAGGTTTTCCCGTGAAGAATTTAGGGTTTCAGTTTTGCGAGTTACACTGAAGCATCGACTGAGTGAATTCAGCATGCTCCAGATTTTTTACTTGTCCCAGAGTGAGTCACTGAACCAGAGCTTTTCAACTGGTGTTTTCTTGAAAGGTCCATTGACAAAAATTGATTTTATCGCAATTAGAATTTCTTCGCAACGAAGCGTTTGAGACTTTAAAAAACTTTTTGTTGAAAAAAAAAAAGTTGCTGAAGCGAAATCAAGATGAAGTGTGGGCTATTTGGCAGGCACCTCAACAACAAATTCTTTGTAAGCAATAATTCGTTATAACGAGATTCTATTTCAAATTAGGAGAAGCGATTCACTTGATTTTATGCTGTAATGCATTACAGTATATTTTCTCAAAACGTGAGTCAAAATCGCACGACAGGAGATGTTGCTGTTTTGAAAATTGATTCTGAGTTCCAACGTGTATTTTACTGAATTCATGCTTCGAAAATTCTTGCTGATTTCGCAGTACAAAGGCGTGAAGAAATGTGCTCATAATCTTTTCTCTTCTTTTTTTTTCGTGCGTGCATAATCCTTCGTAATTTTCCATTTCACGCTAATCCAGAAATTTTTTACGGTATTCGCTTTCCGTGTACATTTCAGCTTTCAAATTCTATTCCACATTTTGCGAAAGTTATTTTCCGTTTCGAAAAATTTATCTCGGATGACTGTTCCGCTGGTCTGGTTTGAGTTTTTCCAGGCGAGCTTTTATTCATCCGTAAATTATTTCTGGGAACGATTCACGCGTCGAAGATCCGCGTTGCGTTTCTTCGGCGTTTTAAAATTTCTCTACAAATTTTCGTTTTTGTGTTACAAATTCTTTTGTTTTGCTTGACTCTTTAAAATTTAGCGGCTCAAAATGAATTAGGAATGCTAATACTTTAATACCCTGGAGTCGTTATTTTTTTCTGGCTCGAAATTAACCTGAGGTGTTTTCACGGCGTTTCTTTAGAAAATATGATTGTGAAATTGGGTTTTTTTTGCCTAGAAAGCTCCTAAAAGATATCACCACGATATCTCATTAATTTAATAATACGAAGAAGAATTTGGTTGGCTTATCCTGTTGGAAAAAAGTTCCTTGAAAATGAATACAACCTGCTTTCGGATCAAAACCAGTTTCATGGTCTTGAGAGCTACACTTTGGAGATGTTCAAAAAATTCTCTGACATTACTGAATGTATATTTTCGTCACTTGACTGTGTGACGTGTTTATTTTTCTTGTCTTAAACAAAATTAAAAAAGAAAGTCTCAACTTGACTTGGATCATCTTTAAAAAAAAAAAGGGAACGACCATCAGTTTCCCATGGATAATCTTCACTTATTTATTACGACTTTGTCGACAATACGGCAAAGAAGAATATAATTAATGTGGTGGTCGAAAAATTCAGCTTCCTTGTCCCAATTCAGCGCGCCATTGGCGAACAAAACTTCTTTTGATTGATGGAATGTTTTCTGGAATACTCGGGGATCATATTTATTTTTGTGTGTCGTCTCTTCTTTCCGGTTGAGGCCGTATTTCTTCCAAGCAAAGCCAGAATGACATGCTGTGTAATGTATTGTGGGGGTTTTTTCGGATGTATCCGGAAGTTTTCCTGCTTTCTCCGGCGAAATCATCATCATCATCTCAAAACTGCTGGAAATTCCGGGTCGGAGGAATGCATTTCCAGAATTTCGAGTTCATATTTTATTTTCATTTATTTCTGGGGCCTCAGGATTTAAGTTAGTGCAAGTACTTGAGTGACGGACGACGCGTGGGCATGTCGGGAAGGATCGGTGGGGGTTTTCTTTTTTTTTCCTCGGGTCCGGAATATTAGAACCTGGGTTTCGTGATGCCAGTAAATACTTTCCCGTCACTCAATACTTTTCGTCGCCTAGACGAAAGGAAGTTTTTTCCGAGAGCCAAGAACGTGTCGAGGAAGTCGTTGGAGGGTTTTAAAAAAAATTTATAATAAAGTGTGGTTTTCGGCGTTGAAGGCAAGTGGTGTGAAATTCACCTGTGATATTAACCTGTTCCGACAAATGCTCGCTTCGCTCTGATGTCGTGGAGGCATTTGAGGTGAACTCTTTTCTTTTTAAAGCAGTCTTTTGTTAATGGGAAACAGGTGCCCGCGTTCGACTTCACGAATTGAATGATCCTCGCTGCCGTATGATGATTTTTTTTACCTTTCAGGAAGCTAAACTTATTCTCCAAAATAAATAAAAATGAAGATATATGGGCATTGGTTCGATTAATTACTCGATTCCATATACTGTAATACCGTATTTGAAAATGACCGCAATTAATATTGAGGTTGATGAAAGGAAGAGAGAAAATTTTAAAGAAAGAGTGGCAAGCTTTAAGTGATTGAATGAATGAATGAACAGAAAACTTTATTTGCTGCTTTTCAGTGTTCACAAGGTTCAATCAAGATTTCCACATCCAAACCCCCTTCCCACCCAACCCAAATCCACTCAAAGACATTTAATCTCTTCAGAGCAGGAAACAGAGCACAAATGGATAACAAAAATAAAAGAAAATACAATCCACAATGGTCTCTTCAATGAATTCCAATGCTTGTAAATCTTTCTTAAGCTTGTTTCTATCAGTATGAAATGCTGGACATAAGAAGAGAAGGTGCTCTGGTGATGCATAAACTAATGTATTTATGCTGCAGGAGTTACACCACTTAGACACCTTTGAAAATTGGATGAATTTTGTACTAAAGTGCCATGAATCTGTCAAAATAGCTACAGTACCATGTATCAAAGGGATGTTAGATGATGCAAATAGTAATGGTTTAGGATTGCCACAAGCAAGCAAGATCTGCTTGTCATTGATCTAAGTGATTAAGATGAGAAATCACAGTGAAGATTATCCATGGGAAGCTGATGGTCGTTCCCTTTTTTTTTAAAGATGATCCAAGTCAAGTTGAGGCTTTCTTGTTCTGTTTTTTTCTTATGACAAGAAAAATAAACACGTTACACAGTCAAGAGCCAATAATGCATCTTCAATTTGTAAAATTAATTTACCAATTGGTCGAAATTAGACCAGAAGGGTGACTAACCTTCTGTTAGTCATTACCGCGAGATGAGGCAAAAAATTCGACAAGAATATTTTTTTTTTTCATTTGCTTTTCGCGTAACGGTGAGTCAAAAAAAATATCTGGGGGATTTTTTTTTTTCAAGACATTTCTGGAACGTTTTCATTTTCAATTCTTGCGAAAGAAGACCTCAGTTATTTGTTTGAGCCAAACTGCAGTACTTTTTTAGCCCAAGTTTTGTTATTTTTATGACAATTGAACCCTCCCCCCCCCCAAATCAAGCTCTTATTTGATCCAATACAGTTCGATTAATTTTGTTTCTTGCCATTTTTCAGACTGATGTCCACGTTTTGTCCCTAGTCTTCTGTTACAGTAAATCGGGGAAGGGCAGTATTTCGTTTTATTTTTCTTGCCAATTACTGCATTAGCGAACATGAACTTCGGCATATTTAGGTGTTGATTTTATTTGATGGAATTTTCTTCATGCCACGCGTCAAGATTCAACTTCGCCAGTCTCCAGTTCTTTCTTGAGACGTTCCCCTGTTGTAAAATTAAACGTTTTCTTCGTGTCAGCATTTCTGCTAGCCGTATTTTTGACAATGCATAGCCAAAGGTTTATTTCTC